TACTGTTACATAAATCCCATGAATGTATGAGATTAAATTAGCTTCATTATATCTCAGTGATTAAGTGAATAATAAAGTTTCTATCGGGTCACTATCAGCCTGTCACTCATTATTTGCAGGGAGGGGGCGGGGTTTGGAGGAACGGAGAAGAGACGGTGATCGCGGAAGCTTTTTTCCTCCTGCCTTCACAAACTTTACACACGTATATCGTCTGAAAATTGCTAGAGGACATTCATACTCTGCAATCCAAGACTTAATTAAATCCACCAAAAACCTGACATGATTGTAACGCGATTATTTTTGAAAAACATGACTGCCTGACCCTGTGTCTCTGAGCCGCAGCGACACGGAGTGATTCAGAGCGGGTCCTTCTGCTGTTGGTTCTGGACTGGTGTTCTTGTGTTGGTGGATAAAGCAGACTGCTCCGTGTTTGGTGTTGCTGTGCCGCTGTCACGTCTGTTCCCTGATCTCTGCGTCACCGACCGATTTGATATTAAAGTGACAGAAAAAAAAAACGTTATAATAAAGCCGCGGCCGGAAAATCAGGAAGCAACGTTACTACGCTATAACCGATTATCTTCCGTCACTGCATCGAGACCGAATCGTCCACGTCCGCATCGCAATGCATCGTAGAAACGATTATTTTCAACACCCCTAGTCAACATGCAATCCTTTACTATCGCTTCCAGTTTGGTTTTCAAAAGGAATTTAAACAAGTCATAGTTATCTCTGTAGAATATGTCAGTGAAAATATCTCAAACAACAATATTTTCCAAAAGATTTCTGAACAAAGACTACATTTTAATCCCAATTTACTGAATATATCTTTAACAATTTGAAAGCAAGGTCATGGAACTCTGCTTACCGGCTGCTAACGGCTAACGGCTAATGCTAGCTCCTTCGGATTTAAACTCAGATTAGTTGTTCATAATGAAGCACTATCAGAAAAAAACAACTGGATTTTGGAATCATTGGAACCATCATTTCTCATGATATGTCGATGCAGGTTTAGCGAGTCAAGGACACACGGTCATCTTAACCGTACTTCAAGTCTGACAGCAGCTCTTACAGTATTACTGGGTGAAGTCTTTATCTACTGTGTCACTGTAGGCTCTCTGTTTCCATATGTAAAAACCACTCTGGGAATTCAGACGAGCGCTGTGATTTCCTCAGCAAACATTTCTCTAACATCAGGTTACCTAATAAATGATTCAAAAGCAAACAAGTCTGCTGTTCACAGGAGCTGCTTTCACAGACTAACAACCATTAATCAAGTTACAGTACATTTCTAATTTCATAAATGTTTCTTTTGGAATAACTATCAAATGTATCCTAAATTCATTCCAAAGAAATCACTCCGATTGGCTGTTCAGCTAGCGAATCAGTGCATGAGAAGCGAAACGGAAGTGAGGGACCCAAACAAACTATTAAGAAGGCAAATGTGAGATTTCATTGAACTCCAGCTCTCGACTCAGGTTCGGGAAAGCCCCGTGAGCTTCTCTCTGTAGAGTGAAAATGGAACGCACACGCTATTTGTTGTTTGTTTATATCACGCAGTCTGTTCTTCTTCTCTCGGTTATCACGCAGTTTGTCTTCCGGTTGTTACCTCTTTTGAATGACAAATACACACTACCGCCGCCTGCTGGTAAGGAGAGTTATTGCTACTCACGCATGCGCAGTTCGTACGTGCTACTTGGCCGTCGGCTGAAGTCTTTGCGGTGTGTTCCAGTGCGAAACATGGCCAAGAGGGAAACGTGAGGCGACGTGAGGCGACGTGTTCTTTGGTGTTCTTTGGTGTCAGTTTGGTGTGTAAGAGGCTTAAGGCGAGACACGGCAGGCAAAAACATCGTTTTTCAAGTACTGGTCAATTTTGAGATTTTGTGCTATTTTGATTCCATAACATGTTTTCTTTCAGGCTTTTGGAAGGAAAATGTACAAAATACACATTTAAGTGTTTATTTTACTATAGTTTGTCTATTTGCATCTGTAGATTTCTCCTATATTCACCAAAAGTTAGCATTCTAACGTAACATAAAGTACCGCGACCGCTGTGTGCACCATGTCAACAGAGGTATCGCTGGAAAGCTGTGTCTCTCCTGCACAATCTCATCGGATCCAAATATGGTCATTTCCTTTGTATCAGCAACCAATCGTGAAAGCACAAAGGGGTTTTAAACCAAGAAACGAAATCTCATTGGCTGGTGTCAATTTCTGACAACGTGATTCGTTCAGATGCGTCACGTGGTGTGCTAAAACACTTCCTGGTTAGCTTTCAGCTAGAAATTGAAATCTCAAAATGGCAAAAGAACAGCGAAAAAAACGTTCAGAGAGAAGACGACAACAATTGTCACTTGCACGAAGCAAGGTTAGACAAAAAACAAATGACCCCGAACATGAAATACCTTCATGGAGTGCGTCGATGCGCAAGCTATCATCCAAAGAACAGGAGGGTTTAGCTAGCGCCTCACTGCAATCTTTAAAGGTCGTTTTCTCAAAATGAGTTTTTTCTCCTACTCTGAGTTCGAAATTTCAACTTCAGTAGCACGTACATACACCAAACCTTCCAGTTATATTCCTATCAATATTATGAAGGCTTTTACAGAAGGGTTTGTTCATATATCATTCATAGCCTGAATTATACAACATTGTATACCTAAAAACATGGCGAAAATGGATATTTTAGGGCTGTTGACAGTATTTTCTGATTTATGGAATGATAAAAAGAGATATCCAATATCCCTTCTGTAAAAGCCTTAGATACTAATATGACTACAAAATGAAACAAGAATTTTTAACCTGGCTTTATCCAAAGTTCAGATTTCGATTCCTGAAATGTGTTAAAATATGTGCATATTTAATGAGATAATGGATAATTTGCATATTTAAACATACTATTTCAGAAAACTTGTAATACAAAAAACAATTGCCTTATTGTAAGTAATTAACTGGAGAAATTTCTAGCTGATAGCTTTAAGTTAAAAAAATTACCCTATTCACCTGGGGTGTCTCGCCTTAATACGACTTGATAGCTCCGGAGCAGGTTTGATGTTCAGCATAAGTTACCATGGAGATCTACCCCGGTAAGAAGTGAACCAGCGTCGTAGGACCCGAAACCCAGAGTTAACCCTGAAGTTACCTCGCTAACCGAAAATCCTGCTTCGTAGTACAGGGCACAGATCAGATGCTAGCTCACCAAAATACACAAACAACCAGAGGGCACAAAGGGACCAACGTCAACCCTTAGGTGAGTCTCTGGGTGCAATATATCTGATTAAATTCCAAATTACAGAGGCCAATTCAAAAGAATTTCACACATCAGCGTGGTGTTGACTCTACAGCAGCCAATGTTAGATAAAACTCAAGGCCAGGAGCTCACACACACACACACACACACACACAAACATCTGTGTCACAATACAATAACAGCTAGTTGACCAAATCTGATGAGTATGGGCAAAGACTACATTTCTGGAGTCTAGGAAAGTCTTATAACTGACAGCGGTAAATACAAATGAAAAGTATCACCTATGAAAGGCCTATCCTGCAAGGTTATCAGTGTAACCTTGCAGGGTGTTACTTTGACACCAAACATGGTCATCCTCAAGAACCTTGGTTGGAGTGTGATAACATTGCATTGACTCTAATTCAAATTTAAAAACAGCTTATCAAAACCATCAAGGCTCAGCTTTTAGATATTTAGACTTTAAAATGGTAAAAATAAAATCTCCTAAATTCAAAATATGATGACATGTAGCTATGTGTATTGCATCTGTCTATCGACACCTGGTTGCCCGGATGTTTTGTACAGTGCTTTTTGCTTATCAGAAAACATCCTTAATAAAGTTGTTGGACTCTGAGCGATAACAACTGTGGGTAATTCTCCAGCATTGAAACGGATCCAAAAAAGGACTGCTATCAGCACCCAACCCTACTCAATTGTGCAGCCGTTATCAAACCATTTTCTCTATCAGACATTGCAAGGCATTCACCAAGCAATTTATAAACAACCCCACGATTTACCTTAACAATCCTGATCCTGTACAGCAACCAATACTCGTTTTTTTTAAAAATAAAATCGATGTTTCAAAGCATGCATTTGACATGTAAGGTTTACTAGATGTTGGAAACGGGCTTTATTCCCACGCACTGACAATACTGCACGATTAAAGCCTAGATGCAGCTCGAAATATATTCCGAATTCTGTTTTTCATGGTCCCAAGTGGTTAACAACCTATTATGATCAAATAAACTAAGAGATCCGACAAAGAGGGGAAGGGTGAAGTGAGCGCACGCGCGAGAAAGAGAGGCATGTGGCGAGGCCGCGCGCGATGTGAAACGTGCGACTCTCGAGCATCTCCGCCTCCTCACCCTCTAAAAAGCGTTACTTACTTCCCTTTTCTGGTATAGTTTACCCAATAAAACAACACGAATAAATGAAATACTTAAGTGTAAAAAGCTAACAAATCTATGCTGACGTGAAAATTAGACAAATACTGTATGACTGTGGAGAAAAAAGATTTGAAAAGCTCCAAAAAATGGTCTGCTCGACAAACAAGACGGAGAATAAGGAAATAGAAAATGCAATATCCCATAAAAGCGTTTAATTCAAGCATGTGGGCATTAGACATCACTTAACATACAGAATACGTTAAATAAAATGATTTTAATGCAAAATAAGGTTTAATTTATTAAGAAATCCATAGAGAGCTTGTATCTAAATGCACATCGGAGCTTCCCCACCTTTATTCCCCACCTGCACACACACTGCCACCAGTGAAAACATCAATAAATACAATCGAATTAAAAACACTGCTAATTGAATTGTCAGTCCACATATGCAACTATCTCCCCAAATCATTATTTGCCAAAAATATGTAATTCAAACTCAACACAGACACAAATAAACGCATTTAAATTCTAATCATAATACAAAATATAATAAAATGAATGAGAGCCCGGCTTGAGAGGTGTTCAACGAGGATGTAATGTGTTTACGTTACCTGCTCTGTTTGTTATTTTGTCCTTTTAATGTCCTTTGAGCAGTCCCTTGTAGGTTTCGTCTTGTCCGTGTCCTCCTGTGTCTCTGAGAGCGACTGAGGGCTGAGCGTGTCGGGAGCCTATATGTTAGCGTGTTTATAAGCCTCTCTTTCTGACCTTTGTCTCTCCAAACGGGGGGACATGAGACAGTGGAAAAACACCGGCCTGCCTCCTCTCAGAGCAACAGGAGAGCAGTGTGACGCTGTTAGGACCCGCCTCTGAGTCCTATGAAGTGCGCCGTTACATGAGCGGAGCAGAGAGTTGGGTTGAAAGTGATGCGAACCACCGGGCATCTCTCCGAATCACCGGACCAACTCTTAAATGCATCCGCGCACCGTTTCTCTTCCTAATTCTTCCACAGAGCAGCTCTGTCTCCGGTTCCATTTATCATAAACTGCCTACCATAGGCAATTAAAGGTTTTCAGATTCAAACGTATGAAGTGGAGATTTACGAGAAGCACGTGAAGGCAGCACTAAGGGGTAGTCCCCCCCCAACCCATTTCACGATGGTTGGTTTGCTTAACTGACTCTCAAGGCACACACTCGTTTTTTTAGCGGCGCTCAAGCTCCCTTCCACCCGCCCATCCACACGCGCGTGCCTGTGAGCATGCGCTGGTGCGCACGCGGGCCAGGAAATAAAGGAGCAGCACAGTTTGAGGCCATGCCGCTGATCGACCATGCTGAGAAACAGCGGCAGCTGAGCCTCACTCAACATTTGAAGTGAAAGAATACACGTTTAAATCGATACAGTATGCAGGAACAGCTTAAACACCATGTGTTTATTAACTTTCATTCCACCATAATAGATGGGCCTAATAAATGTAGGAACACCCTACAGTGTAATGCTATCCATTTTAATGCAATGAACACATGTACAATTCATTGTCTGTCTGCCACAGTCTGGAATACTGTTTATTTCAGTGTTATTCTATGAGTGTTTCTATTATTATGTCTATAAGAGCTTAAGGCACTATTCATACTCGTTCCATAAGGTTTAATATAATGGTGCAGGAATTAGTCCAAAAACACAAGCTGAAGAGATGTTTGCATTTTGTTCTAGGTCCTAAAATACAACACCCCACTGGTGAATGTGAACTTACTATAAATGGCGGTTTCTAACAAGCGCCTAAATGAGACAACTAAACGTCATGATGAAGACCATTAGCCACCTTTAGCTTAGTGATGTGATGTGACTAACATTAGCTTTTTTTTTTAGCTTTTCCACCATAGTACATCTTTCCAAATGTATATGACTCTATATGGTATAATGTATTTAATGTTATCACCACTTACTGTGTGGCCTTATGTGAAGTTTCAGTCCTGTTTCTCTCCATACATTACCATAATTCTTTTCTGTGGAAAGTGTAGTATTATGGTGATATGTCCCCTGTTTATTCGCGATTTATTGCAGGTACACAACTTTTTTAATGGTTCACAGAGGATAGTTTTGTTGACCCTGTGACCATTACTCCAGCATAAATTCTACTGTCTACTACACTTTATTTGTTCTATGACTAACAATTTCTCCATAAAAAAATATCCTGAAAATGAAAAACGTAATTGACATTAAAAATAAAAAATGATTGATAGTAATCCTGAGAGGTCAATTTGGTTTGGTGAATTTCTTCATGTTTCCTTTTGCACTACAGTACAGGCAAACAATTATAATTTGCACACACACACACACACACACACACACACACACACACACACACACACACACACACACACACACACACACACACACACACACACACACACACACACACACACACACACACACACACACACACACACACACACACACACACACACACACACACACACACACACACACACACACAGTTAGTTAAAAGACCTGCCTTTATTCTGACATGCTGTTATATTATCTCACGTTCACAGTCACACACATTACGTTTATTTTCTTCACATCTGCTTACATTTGAAATAGGTCCTCTAAATATACATCTATGGCCTGCCAATAATGAATCCTGGATGGCCTTCACATCTGGGCTGCACTCATGTGTTTGGCAGGGTGCTCCTATTGCTCTGGAACCTTGAGGTCCACAATTGCTTACTTTAGAACGCTTTCCTCTGTCTAACCTTGAGGAACAAAAATGATTGAAAAGCATTTTCAAAAAGATAGTTTTCTGTTTCTCTCTGCTACTTTCATGGACAGCACATGCACTCTGAGCCAGGACTCATGCCCCCACAGTGCAGCGTTATCTATTTAGAGCAAAGGAGAGGTACCCATGTGTTTACATAGGCCCAATTCCAAACCACACCCTACCCCCTACACACTACCCTTCCGTTTGCTCGTTCCAAACCAACGAGTGTGGAGGGGGAGTGGGTTATTAAGCCCTCAAACAGCGAGTCTGCATCAGTCCTGACTTCACCTGCTGCCCTACCTGAGCGACTCAACGCTGTGTGTGTCCGTCATGAAACAAGCTGTTTACTAACAGTTCCGTGGAAACATTCATTGATAAACTGCACAACAAGAGCTATTATATATATATACATGGTTACCTCGTATTTGTTTTAACTTAGGATCATTTACTCATGTCCAGTCTAGAAAACGGTAAAAGTTGGATGGACTTTTGCTAAAACTAAGCAGCTTATAAACATCAGATTTTAAAACAAAAATATGTTTACAAAAAATATGCCATAAAAGATTTTTAGAGTTTTATTTTTGTTATTTGTAATCCAAGAGATGCTGATTTTAAACCGTTGTTAAGAAAGTTATGGCATTTCCTGTTTCTGCCAGAGAAAGGGGAGTTTGTCCCAAAGCTTGCTGCTTTATTTACACCCTCCACCTGAAAGAAGGGAGCCTCGTTAAGCTGCGAATGTGACTACAGACGGAGTTCACTCCATCACGGAGGGGGAGTGGGTAGGGTCGGGTGTGGTTTGAAATTGGACCAGAGTTACCCAGGAAACTGAGATGAGTTTAACAGGCCAAAGCAGCAGAGCGAAGATAAGGCTGCTGTCAGTTTCAATGCATTGTGAAACCGTAATAATATCTCATATTAAGTAGAGAAAGGGACAAAACAGACATATGGTTTGATAAACCTTTCAATATAATGAACTGAAGCAGTATTTGTCTAATCCATGTGTTGAATCATGGACTTTCTGGACCTTTCTGCAAACTGCTCTGTCATTGGCTGGCAGCATTTCTCAGTTTCTCATTTCCTAAGATCATATTGGAACTAAAGTGGGAAAAGTACTGTGGTGTGAACGCACCTAGACTTGTCTTTGATAACTTGTAAATCTGAATAATTGCAATCCTTTGTAAATTTGCAAGTGCAGTATTAAAGGCCTCCTATCATGTAAAATGCACTTTTTTATGTCTTTTACTGTATACATAACTCACAAAGTGTCAGAAAATACAACCCTCTCTCTTTTCCTCCGTACCTAAATCTCTAAAAACCGGTGAACAACAGAGCTGATCCATATTTTTCAGTGGCAGTTGAATAAACTTGTCGTATCGTACGATACGACAAGTGTATTCAACTGTCCTTCGTTTACTCAAACAAAGCCACACCTCAGTGGTTTAAAGTGTTGGCACAGTCAATACAATTTGTACTTTTGCACCTCTGAAGTATTCATATAAACAGAAAAGTGACGCCACCAGCGCTTTTTTTAAAAGTTGACAATTTTTCTATTTAATCCACTCGCAACGGTTGCACAAAAAAGACGCTGGGAGCTGCGCTTTTTGTCAAGGTGACTGCAAAAGACTCTGCTCTCTGTTCTCACTAAAACGAATTGAAAACAGAAAGAAGCGCTATGTTGACACAGCCTTACGTTGCCCAACATGCTGCTGCACTCCTCCCATTCCAGCAATCAATCCATTTTTGAAAACCACACTACAAGCAAGAGTTCAACTTTTGTTCTCATTATAAAGAAAAAGTACATTTTATTTCTTCCAAATACAACCCATTCGCTGTTTATCAAAAAATGTTACGACCATGATCTTTTTTATGACCCAGGATTCAAATAGTCCATTACAAAATAAAGCTAACAACAGTAACAACAGTCAGGTAACAACAGTAATTTATGTTTCCTCTAAATGTGTGTGCTCTTGTTTTTGTGCCGGTTATGCTCTATTATATGATTCTCCCAGTGGTTGGCATACATGTCCTTCCAAAGGTACTTCTTTGAAATGACACGTTAAGACTGGAATTATTAAAGCACATGCTATTGCCTCTGTTACGTGCTCCTCTCCTGTTTGTCTCTCTGTCTCCCTGCTGCACAGACACACCTGGTCCGCCCCTGGCTCCGCCTCCCCCAGGTGTCCTAATTACGTTCAGCTGGGGACTTGAAAAGCAGAAGCTGGAGGAGAAGAGTCTCTTCCCCAATCTTAACGCCGGAGGAGGTTGTCCGTGGTCTTCCTCCTTCTTCTGCTTCAGGATCTGTAGATTCCGAGTGTTGTGTATCCTATGTACTCTGGAGGAACAGGTATTCTAGGTTATCGCGGCTTTGTTTTCTCCCGCAGGGATTTGTTAGGTTTCTGGGTAGCGGAGGGAAGCTCTGAGTCCTACGGCCCGTGGTGTGGCTTGCCCAGGCCCCCTTTGTCCTTTTGTTTGTTTCCTGTCCTCCAGTGCATTGTTATTTGCCGGTTGGCCATGTAAGTACGGATGTATCAATAAATGAACACCGTTAAATGCTGCGTGTTTGCTATGTTTTCTATGTTGCGGGTCTCCCCAACGAGTCTCTACCATTAAGTAGAGGGCGGGTCGTAACAGCCTCCAATAATTAAAAAAGCGTCCATCATTATATGGATCACTGTCATATAAAATCCCAGGGTCCACTCTTTGAACTCTTTCAACAACATGTGAATGTTCTGATAAATGAATGAAGTGTTATTGTTTTAATAAATTCTATTCATATTTAGGAGCATGTCACATACTTAAACCTTAGACACACACACACAAATGAAAAACACAAAGCATAATCAAATCCTGTTAAATTCCAGACATCCTGCTCACTTTCAAATGAAGTGGTCTGCTGGATGATAGAGTAACACTGGAGGTGAAACAAGAATTAGAAAGTAGTTCTATTGAATGCATCTGCAGAGTGATCTTCAACTTGGACATTTTTCCCATACATTTCAACATTGTCAAATGTAATATGAAGCCTTGGCAGCAAGAGTAAACTTTCTGTACCCTTTTGCCATGCATTGTTATAATATAACTATAATTTGTTTGTTTGTGGGACACATTTCCTAATAAAAATATTTGTCAAGTTCAATTTATTATTTATAAGTAATTTGAAGTGATGAGTTATTATTTTGAGATGTCTCATTATTGAGATGGATTCTTAACAGCCTGTCCTCCTCCAAAAAAAGACCAAATAGGTTGATTGTTCAGCAGTTTATTACGACCTATAGTCACGTTTGAAAGTTTAGCACCTCTAGTGGTCGTGTAAGAAACAACAATTTGCGGCATATCGGCTGATGCTCCCGTT